AGGATGATAATAAGCTCAATGAGAAGGATGATAATAAGCTCAATGATGAGGAGTTTGCAGGTTACTCTTGTAGTGAAAAAAAAAACTTCAGCTGTTTATTTTCTCCTTATCGAAGTCCCAATATCCTAAAATTCCAATAGGTAAAAACAAATCTTTTATAGTCAATTTATGATATTTTATAACAAAATATACACGCCCATCAAGATAGTTTTATTTTTATTATTACCCCCCATGGGGAGTGGTGGCGCAGAGGTTAGAGAGGTGGGCCTGTGTTCCGAAGATCGCCGGTTCACGCCCCGACCCCGACAACATCAAAATTGTGGGTGGGGTAGGTGAAACACCCACACTTGCCCCCACCCTCATTCGCCCCACTCTGGGCCCATGAGCAAGGCCCTTAACCCCCACCATGTGCTCCCTAAACAGGTCTCTCTTGAAAATGAGTTCTCGTGGCTCAATGAGACGACCTGTATAAATAAAGGTTAAATAAAATTTAAAAAAAAATGTGTGCAGTGCATCTGACAAAAAAACCCCAACAACTTTAAGTTATTTAGGAAGTTTATAAAAGCTCACTTTTATTTTACAGAACTGGTTTATAACAGAACGATATCTGAACACTGAAAATTATTCATCAGAAAATCCTGGAATAGACACATTATTTATTGTGATTTTCACATTTGGAGATTTATGCTTCCTTGTTACTGTACTTTTCTCCATATAAGTCACACTTTTTTGCATAAATTAGCATGCCTGCCACTTACACGGCGAAGCGACTTATTTATGTTTTTTCCCCCCATATTAATAACCAATTTTTGGCTGAGCTCTGATGATTTTATTCATTCTGACATGGAAAATATTGAACACTACCATTACCATCGACTAATATGGCAAGCCAAGTGTCTCATTAATAGGTAAAATGGCTATTAATGAGACACTTGGTTTGCCATACCAAGCCACCTTCATCTCGCTCTGGAACTCCTGGAACAAACGTCAAATCAGCTGCATTTCATCGTGACGCCCAGGCGAAATGCAGCTGATTTAACCATTAAAGTGCATTTATTAAGGAAAAGTTCAACTGAGACACATCGTTACCATAATGCTGAACAAACAAATAATTGTTTTTAAGTGTTAATCTTGTTAAATTCTTCTTAAAGTCCTCCTGTGCACGCTCCCGCGGCCACCATTTGGCAGCCAATTGATTTTTGGCACAACACCGGCCCACGATTCCAGGTGGTCAGCGGTGACGCATAATAGATGCGACTTATATGGCAAAGTGACTTATTTATGTTTTTTTCTACTTTATTAGTCAAATTTGGACTGTTGCGATTTATACGGTGGTGTGACGTGTACGGTACTTTTCTAACGAACATGTCTTTTTAGACAGGATATGACAAACAAGTAAACATTACAAAATAAGATAAGAAGTGTTAAAGATATCTTTTTTTTATCCGTTTAAAACAGCCACTCGTAAAGTCTAAATTTATTATCCAGCATAACATAAAAATTTACCTTTAGATCTTGTTTCATCTGGAATATAGTCTACAGTCATTTTCCTTTTTATGTTGCTAGCATTTATACATTTTAGGTGCATTTCAAATTTCATTGTTCTAAAACACCTGGCCTTGTGGGACTCCATGATGCCTTCTCAATAAAGGGATAGTTTGAATTGTTTCAAGTGTTTTTTGGTGGGGGTTGAATATCATGAACTTTTACCTCGTGTCTTAGCATCAGATAATTATTAGCATAGACATTCCTGGTTATTATACTGAAGATTGATGAAGCTGCAAAACGAGCTGCTGCAACATGCTCTACATGACGTGTGTTTCAGATTGTGCTGCTGGTCAGGGTGACCATCTGATGCATCGGGTTCCCCTCGTGGCTCTGATGACTTTAATACAAGCTAGTTTCTGAATCCAAATAGTTTGTGTCATGCTCCAAACTTATTAAAAACAAGATGTCTCTAGTGTCAAACACGTTTGTTTTAAAGTTGCTGGAACCTCTTCAGATGAATTCTGCAGCGCAGTATTTATCAAAACATTGTCATCATTCTTTTAAATACAAATAACGTGTGTCTTAATATTTACAAAATAATCTTGTAGCATTATTAAATGGTACTGGGGATAATTTTCAACCTTTTATCTCTCTAAGTTCTTTACTCTAAACTGTTAATAAAACCTGACGTGTGTGTGAGTCCTGACTGAACCGTGACCTCTGTCCTCCTCGCAGTCTGTAGACTGGGAGAAAACCCTGGCCTCCCTGGACGTCGATCGAACGGTCGGCGACACGGAGTGGGCTAAACCAGGCACAGAAGCAGGAATGGCCATGTTGGAGTCTTTCATCGACGTGCGTCTTAAATTGTTCTGCACCCACCGTAACGACCCGAACGCCGCTGCCCTCAGCCAGCTGTCCCCGTGGATCCGCTTCGGTCAGTAGCATCCTGACATCCACAGCAGATGTTAGACAGTCTCCTATAGACGTGCACAGTTTGTCACATTAGCTTCCAGCAAATGTTTCTGTCACTGTTTCAGAGTAATGTAGATCATTTGTCAAAAGGTAAAGATGAAGAACTCTTGCTAATGTGATGCAGCAGCTGATTGTGGTTCACTCAAGAAGTAACAAAAATAGCTTCATCTAATATTAGACTCACTGACAAGAACAAGCTGAGCCTCTGATTGTTGCAGAGTTGTCTTCTGAACAAAAACATATTTTAAAGTTCCCCAAACCACTAATTAGACATTAAACATATCAGACTACCACCTCATAGTGAAGTTCTGGTTCCAGTACCAGTGAGCTGCTGAGTGCCTCATAACATTTATTGCTTTAGTGAAGTGTCTTAACAATCTGCCTGTGCCTTTTATTATTTACAAAATGGAGAAATCTCTTAAATTGACACGCTTTAATAAACTCATGTCTCGCTTCTGTTAGAGCATGAAACCTCGTGTGTTTTCATGTGGGTGGCTCTGCTGAGGTGAAAAGCTAACGTTTTCTCTTTCTGTTTATTCTCATAAGACTTTGATTGTTCAGGTCGTCACAGATTTTCTTACAGTTTTAGTTCATCACGAACTGGCAAATTTAGGTGAAATGATCTTCTCTGCAAATACAGATTGTGGGCAGCTGTGGCTGAGTGGTTAGAGCAGTCGTCTTCCAATGCAAGAGTTGGTCAATTCGATTAACTTTATTTCTATTGCACCAAGTCACAACACAAGTCTTCTCTAGGCACTGAACAGAAATATTCTTATTTACCGTTATACAATCATTTAGTAAAAGTTCTCTATCTAAGGAAGCAGCAGATTGTGTTGAATCTTCACTTCGTCACAGTCTGAGCAAGCACAATGGCAACAGTGGAAAGGAAACTATTGTAACAGGAAGAAACTTCCAGCAGAGCCAGGCTCGGGACGAGCAGCCATCTGCTTCAACCGGCTGGGTTTGAGAGGAACAGGAAGGAGGAACGGACACAGAATGGCAGGTCCAGATGTACTTTCAATAGGAGGAACGACAAAAACACACGTTAAGACAGAAATAACTACAAATACAAGCGAGTAGAGTAGAGCAAGTAAAGACAGCAGCAGAGTGAGGAAAGGTGGTCAGTTAGTCCTCCAGTCTAAGCCTATAGCAGCTAACTAAGGGGTAGCTCATGAAACCCAAGCTGACACTAGTGTTTTTTCTACATAACTTGCCATGGCAGGGAGCTCATCTCGTCCGTGACTTTTGTCCGGGGGGGAGAGACGGACGGAGACACGTCCTAAGCTGCGCAGCGCGCCGTTTAAACCACCAGTTTTCCAGTTTTAGAGCAGGGTGTAGGAGAGGAGAGAGACAGATACACATCTGAGCCGTGCGCTGTCTGAACCAACAGTTTTCGAGTGGCGGGGGTGCGTTCAGCGGGAGGGTTCAGCATGAAGGAAGAGGCTGCCTTTAGCTTTTTAGCTAGCGCACCTGCATTACGAGCCGCTAGTTTAGCATTACGTCAGTGCCGATAGGTGGTTGGGGGTGGGGCTCAGTAGACTGGGCGCTCGGTTCTGTTGACGGGGCGGGGCGCCCCGCTTGTATAATGGTAGGGGAAACACTGCTAACTATAGGATTTATCAAAAAGGAAAGTCTGAAACCCAGTCTTAAAACTGGACAATGTGTCAGCCTCATGGACAGAAACTGGAAGTTGGTTCCACAAGAGAGGAGCCTGAGAACCGAAAGATCTTCCTCCCATTGTACTTTTGGAAACTCTAGGAACCACAAGTAAACCTGCAGTCTGAAAGCAAAGTGCTCTGTTAGGAAAATATGGAACAATAGGATCTGTAATAAAAGATGGAGCTAGGTTGTTGAGGGCTTTGTAGGTTCGAAGTAAGATTTTGAATTCTATTGTGGACTTGACAGGAGTCGGTGGAGAGAAGCTAAAACTGGAGAAATATGATCTCTCCAGTTTTGAGTTAGTTTTTTGTCTTTTAGAATCAATTTTTGGTTATCAAAGAAAGTTTGATTTGTTACTTTTGTTTTCTTTACGTTGGTCCCACCTGAAAACTGTGTTGTTCGTAACACAACTACTACTAATGCAATTTCAACTAACATTTATCTCAGTTTAGAAATTTTGACCGCAACTTTTTCACAAATTTGACCGATCACCTTCACCGCCTGCCCATTTTTACATCCTGGACTCCAAACCTCCGAGATGAAACATGTCCAATGCTGGTAAATCCCGTTTGTCATCAGATGTTATCTGGGCAGGTCAGTTTCCTGAAGTATTACATCAAAGTGGTAGAAAACTGTTTTGAAGCATTGTGCTTGAATAGAAATAGTCACTCGAGGTACTTCTTTTCACAGTAAAACATGTTAGAAAATGATTTGTTGCATTCATTTCAGTCAGACGAACGATGACCTGGCTAAAAATGATAACGAGCTGGAAAGGAGGAGCTTCCATCATAAATACAGGAAAAAGAGTTGCACCTTAAATCAAGGCTGACGTCAGAGACCTAATGAGGACAAAAAAATCTGCTGCTGCCTCACAGAGAGAGCCTGACATTTTTTCAGATTCAGCAGGGTCATTTACTTTAGTCATTTTGTTTCTCCGTCGTATGGTAAATTTTGTATTTATTAAAGAAAAAACAAAACAAACAAAAAATTTAATTTGATTGGAACTTTCTGCAAAAGCTGCCACAAAATCAGACATTTTGGATGACAACAATCACAAAAAAAAGTCCACAATATCCTGAAGAGCCCGATAAAGAAATGACTGATCACTGCAGTCGTTCTCACATCTGGATTTTCTGAAACCATTAGGCGAGTTTCATTATCAGTGTCTTCCTGTCAGAGATTCTAACGTTCCTGAACGTCACATGAAGTCTATTATGACAGCAGGTCACAGACGAACAGATACTTTTTAATCACCTGCTCTTCCTTTTCGTTTAGTCCATCTCTGGTTGACTTTTCTTCGTCCTCTTCCACTTTTTGTTGTTTTTTGTGCTGAGCAGGCCACATTTCAGCTCAGCGTGTGGCGCTGCAGGTCCAGCGCTGTGGGAAGAACGCTCGCGAGTCCATCGCCTCCTTCATCGAGGAGCTGGTGGTGCGCAGAGAGCTGACGGACAACTTCTGCTACTACAACCCCAAATACGACAGCGTGGAGGGTCAGTGGGAGCCTCATTAAATCCGAATCTCCTTCACTCCGTCACAGTAATTGTTCCCGCGCTGACGCATGAGTCGCCTGCTCGCAAGTAGAACAAATGCTTCTAATGACTGTGGAAGGAAAACGACCAGAAGTCTGCTTCACAAGTTGTCTTTTAGTTGTTGTTTTTTTTAAACAGTTGTGTGTTTTCAGGTGCCTATGAGTGGGCTCAGAAGACCTTGAAAGACCACGCCAAAGACAAGAGAGAGTACCTGTACACACGAGAGCAGCTGGAGAAAGCCCAGACACATGACAAGCTGTGGAACGCAGCTCAGGTACAGCACAAGTGGACTGGAGTATTGTTTTTTACTTTTTGTTTAAAGATATAGTTCAGATCTTAACAAAAAAAAAAAAAAGTTAAGTCTGGTCCTCTGGACATTCACAAAAAACAAAAATTAAACCCCAAACAGGACTCCAGTCAGCCATCAGGTGAAAAGGAGGAACCCAGACCCAGACCAGTGGTCATTCCATATGTTGAGGGAGTATCAGAGAAACTGAGACGTTCTATGTCATATAAGCTTCGCCCTTTAAGGCCTTCGCTTTAGTGGGTTTATCCCGTTATGCAGAGCATAAGCACTGAAAAAAATTAGTCCACGCCCACCTGCTGTGTGGGCCCCACCCGGTCCGTATAAATTACGTTAAGAGCGGGAAATCGGCTCCCATTTTTTCTTCAGCGAGCTAATATAGCACTGTCAGAAGAACAAAGAAGATAAGTTGTGTAAATGACCAACCTTGTGAAGGATGCTGGGCCCGGCAGTCGACCTCCGGTCGTCCGGTGAGCTCTCCTCCCCGAGGAGAAGATGACAGCAGTCTTATTCCAAGGTAAGCTTCGTGGAACATTTCCCAGTGACAGGTCACTACACGCTGGACAACGCCATCTTGTGTTTTTTCCTCTTATCGCCGACCCTCGGGGCGAACCGGATGGTTCCTCCGGGGCAAGGCGTGCTCAGCTGCAGCCCCCGCTGCTCATTCCCTCCCGGGGAGCGTAGTGTAGGTGGAGGGGGGCTGAGTGAATGCTCACCCCATCCCACCTCGTTTCGCATCGGCGATCACACCGCTCCCGGCCGACAGCGCCCTCAGGGGTTGCCCGGCGGAACCCGGGAGGAGGCTGACATAAGGGACCCCTTTTTTCTACGTCCCTCGCCTTTTCCCGCCAGTTCGGATGATCGGCGGGAAAGTTGTTTTTTCACTGGGCTCCACTGTGGCTCACCGTCTTGATCCATACGGCCTCACGTTCCAACAGGACGTTCCACGGGCGAGGCCGCAGACGGTTCTTTCCTGGTAGATTAGAGGAGTCGGTCCCCAGTCCGCTCCCATCACCAGAGTTGAGGGATTCACCGAGCGGGGCTATTCCTCGGTAACCCCTCCTGGAGCCAAGCCTCGCGGAAGCTTCCGGAGCGAAGCTGCCCAGGTCGGAGCAGCGTCCCGTCCCTCCGGAGGAACACGAACCAGACGGCGAACACGCTCTCAAATCGAGCCCACCAATGTGTTTGTCAGGCAGCCGCAGTTAGCAACAACGTGCGCTGCTAGCATATAGCATGTCCAAGGGATTGAAGGCCGCAGACCTGCCTTGGAGACAAGAACTCCCTCTGTCAGGCGGCTGACGCCAGCTCAACATGTGTGCCTCTCCCACGGTTTGCCTGTCGAGGACTGCAGCGCGGAGGACGACGATCCAACGACCCACCTGGCTTCGTTACTCCCCTCGCTGCCGGAGAATCTGCACAAGACCTGATGAAACCCATCGCGGACGCGCTGTTCAGAGCAGCTTCAAACCATGCTGGCGAAGTGAAACAGTCGGAGGAGGTGCCAGAGGCTGTGCGCCACCTCATCAAGCCGCGCGGCCCACCCCGTCCCGCTGGAGGGACCGTCGCGAGCAAGCTTCGACTTTTCCACGGCCGCGGCTCTCGCTGAGTTCCACCACCAGCCCCGCCCGTCAGAATCCAGCCCTCTTCACTCCGGCAGCCTGCAGCTCAGCGTTTCCCCAGAGTTCGCCTGCAAGACAGCGCTCTGGGCAAACAATCGCAGAGCTCATGAGAGAGAAAGCTCTCAAAATGACGGTCTCTGGAGGGTGTGTGTAAAAGTGACACGAAAGTTGAAATAAATCATCATTAATGATCAAGTGTCTGTTTTTTAGCCAGTCTGTAAGCCCGGATGAGCTCACAGCGGCCGCACACATAAGAGCCGGTGTCCTTTATAAGGTTTTTTAAACTCACCGCCGCTCCAAGACATTATTAATCGCTTACAGGGCACGATGGTAAGTGAAAATAACTCGTTATAATCCCGGGCTGCACGTTTTTCACCCAAGCGATGTCAACTCGTACCCGTGGGATGAAACAGCCCCACACACGAGCCGGTGTCCTTAAATAAAGGTTTTTAAACTCACCGTCGCTCTAAGACATGACGAGTCGATCACAGAACAGCCTCCACACATGAGCCGGTGTCCTTAATTAAAGGTTTTTAAACTCACCGTCGCTCTAGACACGACGAGTCGATCACGGCACAACGGTAAGCGAAAATAACTCATTACCAACTAGAACTGCACGATCCTCACTCAAGCGGTGTCAACTCGCACTCGTGGGATGGAACAGCCTCCACATGAGCCGGTGTCCTTAAACAGGATTTTAACTCACCGCCGCTCTGACATGACGAGTCGATCACTAAGATGGACAGCCTCCATCCAACGGCGCTACGTTGATGCTGGCGCACACACACAGCTGCCGGCGCTAACCAGCTCACATCGGTATAAATGTGGTCCGCAGGCTGGTTCGGGTGGGGGCCCTTCTCTCTCACAAGAAACGACACCGCGTCATCAGCTGTCACACGCTTCGCCTCAGCACAAGTCTCGCCCGGGATCACACAGAAAACATTCCCGCGACGCATGACGGCGGTTGAGGGGCGGACTGCTGACAGCCGTACAAAACATGACACATCACTTAACGCACGTTCACCCTACGAACGTTACGTAGAGTGGCTAAAACATGATCGCCGTTTTTCAGATGGATGGACAAGGTTTTTATGCAAATGGTACAAGTTACAGTTTGCAACCCGAACCCCTCCATTCAGAGGAGTTATAAAAAACGGCCCCGTCATCATCAGACTGATTCTCATCCCTAAATGCAGAAATCCAAGTGTTTTCTGATAAAAGTAATCTACAGAGTTCCCCAAGGGAGAGAAAACACAAGGTTTTTACTCACGGATCGGAGGGGTGAGACCGTTCTTGGATCTGTTGTTTAACATCCAGAGAACGCATACCGGTCATCCTAACACAGAGACGAGAGTTTTTGTTTTACCTGGATGATCTGCTGCTCCTGTCAATTCAGACAGGAGGTGCTGATGCAGGATCAGGTGTTGACATCACACCTGTTAAATCTGGGCTTCGCCATAATTGGGTAGAAGCTCGATTTTTCCGGCCCAGACATTTGTTTCTGGGAGTGGAATTAAATTCAACCACCATGAAAACTCGTTTATCACAAACTAGATTCGACATTTTTAAAAAAAGTCAACTCAGCCACGTAAGATCTGGCAAGTGATAACAGCTGTCTCCGTCATGAAGCTGTTGAAATGATGTCACTCACACAGTGGTTCCGCTGGTTTGTTTCACATGAGACGCCTCCAGAGGTGGTTCTGCACGTCTGCATGTGGATCC